TCCCAGCTATTCAGGAGACTGAGGAGGGAGGATTGTTTGGGCCTGGGAGTTTGAGGCTGCAGTTCAAGGCTGCATTGTGCCATCATACTTCAGCCTGGGAAACAGAGTGAGACTCTGTCTCCACAAAAAATAAATATTTTATTTTATTTTTATTTTTTATTTTCTGAGACAGAGTCTCACTCTGTCATTCAGGCTGGAGTACAGTGGTGCGATCTTGGCTCACTGCAACTTCTGCCTCCTGGGTTTGAGATTCTCCTGCCTAAGCCTCCCCAGTAGCTGGCATTACAGGCTTCTGCCACCACAGAGCTGGCTAATTTATGTATTTTTAGTACAGACAGGGTTTCACCATGTTGGCCAGGATGGTCTTGATCTCTTGACTTCGTGATCTGCCCACCTTGGCCTCCCAAATTTTCCTGGGATTACACATGTGAGCCACTGCTCTTGGCCTGATTTTTTTTTTTTTTTTTGAGATGGAGTTTCGCTCTTGTTACCCAGGCTGGAGTGCAATGGCGCAATCTCGGCTCACCGCAACCTCCGCCTCCTGGGTTCAGGCAAGTCTCCTGCCTCAGCCTTCTGAGTAGCTGGGACTACAGGCACGCGCCACCATGCCCAGCTAATTTTTTGTATTTTTTGTAGAGGTGTGTTTCACCATGTTGACCAGGGTGGTCTCAATCACTTGACCTCATGTTCCACCTGCCTTGGTCTCCCAAAGTCTTGGGATTACAGGCGTGAGCCACCACGCCCGGCCCGATTTTTTTTTTTTTTTTGACACGGGGTCTTGCTCTGTCGCCCAGACTGGAATGCGGTGGCATGATCTTGGCTACCTATGCCTCCCGGGTTCAAGCAATTCTCCTGCGTCAGCCTCCTGAGTAGCTGGGACTAGAGGCATGCACCAACACGCCCAGCTAATTTTTGTATTTTCTTTTTTTTTTTTTTTAGTAGAGATGAGGGTTTTACCATGTTGGCCATGCTTGCCTAGAACTTCTGACCTCAGGTGATCCTCCTGCCTTACAGCTTCCCGAAGTGCTGGGATTTTTTGCTTCACCCAGCAAAACAATTTTTTTTTTTTTTTTTTTTTTTTTTGAGATGGAGTTTCGCTCTTGTTACCCAGGCTGGAGTGCAATGGCGCGATCTTGGCTCACCGCAACTTCCGCCTCCTGGGCTCAGGCAATTCTCCTGCCTCAGCCTCCTGAGTAGCTGGGATTACAGGCACGTGCCACCACGCCCAGCTAGTTTTTTTGTATTTTTAGTAGAGACGGGGTTTCACCATGTTGACCAGGATGGTCTCGATCTCTCAACCTCGTGATCCACCCGCCTCGGCCTCCCAAAGTGCTGGGATTACAGGCTTGAGCCACCGCGCCCGGCCCAACAATTTTTTTAAATAAATGGAATCCTCTTGTCATATCGTTTTGGTATAAGGAGAACAAGGTGCCAAGAAAAAAAAATCCTATGAGCGAAGGAGCTGAGTGGGACCCAGGGGTCACTTCCTTTGGTGGGCACCAGAGGATGCTCTGGAGAATACCCTGGACAGATTAGGTCACTTTTCCTGGAGAGCAAGTGGCTCAAGAAGCAGCATGGTGGCAGGTGGGCAAAGTGTTAGGGGCATTTGGATCCAGCACCCGGCTCTGAGACACCTGCTCGGATTCCTTTAGGGTCAGGCCTGAATCAATCAGTCAGTCAGGACCTGGGCCCGTGTCCGGAGTGCCCCGGCCCCCTGGGCACCTGCTGTTGGGTCACACATTATACAGGAGACTCAGGGACTGACCCTGGCCAGCGGGCACTGGCATCAGTTGACCCAGCTGCCGTGTATTCTGGCCTGGTTGTACCACCGTCACCCACGAGTGCGGTTCTGGGCATGCGGGTCTTGGTCTAGTGGGGGAGGAAGGACAATGGCTCTGGTCTGGGGACTTGGAGATTTGATTTCTTTCCTGAACACAGGGGCCCAGGTCCTTTCTGTGCCCTCAGTGTCCCCCTGGATGTGCTTTCAGATGTCAGCTGTGTGCAAGGGCAGCAGACTCACCCCCCATAAATGCAACAAGCAGCCTAGCAGCCCTGGTAGCCTCCCAGTGTCCTCTGAGGAGTGGCCAGACAGGAGAGGACCAGGGCCAGAGCCTGCAGCCCCGACCTGAGTCACCTGACTGTGCCATTAGGGACACAATTCCCCAGACGCCTGGGTCTTGGTGGCTGCCCCGCTGAAGCTGGAACGTTGTCCGGCTCTGATCAGCTTGCCGAAGTAGGGGCTTCCTTTTGGTCTTTTTTTTTTTTTTGAGATGGAGCTCGCTCTGTCGCCCAGGCTCGAGTACAGTGCTGTGATCTCAGCTCACTGCATCCTCTACCTGCTGGGTTCAAGTGATTCTCCTGCCTCAGCCTCCCTAGCAGCTGGGACTACAAGTGCACGCTACCATGCCCAGCTAATTTTTTGTATTTTTAGTAGAGACAGGATTTCACCGTGTTCACTGGGATGGTCTTAATCTCCTGACTTCAAGATCCATCCACCTTGGCCTCTCGAAGTGCTAGGATTACTGGTGTGTGTCACCAACCCCGGCCTTTTTTTTTTTTGAGACAGAGTTTTGCTCTTGTTGCCTAGGCTGGAGTGCAATGGCGTGACCTTGGCTCACTGCAACTTCTACCTCTGGGGTTCAAACAATTCTTCTGCCTCAGCCTCCCAAGTAGCAGGGATTACAGGTGCCCACCACCACAGCCAGCTGATTTTTTGCATTTTTAGTAGAGACAGAGTTTCACCATGTTGGCCAGGCTGGTCTTGAACTCCTGACCTCAAGTGATCCGCCCGCCTCAGCCTCCTAAAGTGCTGGATTACAGGCATGAGCCACCGTGCCCGGCCCTTCTTTCGGTTTTGTCAGAACATCCCACCTCCTTCCCTGTGGTTGTCCTCCACCTACTGTGTGACACTCCCTTCTAGCAGATGGTCAACACTCATTCCCTTCTGAGACCCGTCATTAGGGGAAGCATGTCCACCCTCTGAGGGCATCAGACATTGTCTGATGTGCTCTCTCCTGTGTTCCCAGAGTCCAGCACACAGTAGGTGCTTAACACATGTTTGGCAAGTAAAGGAGGGAATGGTGTTGCTCTGACAACGGGAGAAGCCTGGGAATTGTCTTCTCCAACTCGCCAGTCACAGGAGTGGTGTGAAGGTCACCCACATCCCTGAGGATGAGCACAGAGCCCGGCCAGACTGGGGTCTGGCGACGTCCAGCCCAGTCTTCCTAGCCGATCAGAGGTTCCCACCCACCCTACCTGGTGAGGACACTGCCCGGGCAGCTCATGCCGCTCCTGGGTCGCCATGCCCCCTGGTGGCCAAGGCCGGAGCAGGACACGGGCCGCAAGTAGCAACTAGGGACACATGCAAATGAAGACAGAGTTGGAGATACACTTCCGGTTTAGGACAGCCCTTGTGAGCAGTTTGTGCTTAACCCTTTAGGGGAGCATTCGTGCCCAGAACCTTGGAGTAGCAGGACAGCGCCAGGGCCACTCGGAGACTCTCTCTGGACAGAGCCTGCCTAACTACAGATGGAGCCTCAACCTCGCGCTGCAGAAACACTGAGTGTAAGGAACTGTGGTTAGAGACAGCATTCAAAACAAACACACACTAACAAAGTGGACCATCCTGGGCCGGGCAGGGTGGCTCACACCTGTAATCCCAGCACTTTGGGAGGCAGATGGGCCTCTGCTTGTCTGTCTGGAGGAGGTGATATGCAAGCTGATGAGGAAAGATAAGCAGAGTCTACCTTAACTGAAAAGACTACCTGGGCTGAGCTGGTAGGGATGGGGTGAGGGTGCTGTGTTCACCATGTGGGAACTCAAAACACTCACACAGGGCTGACATGGAGGCTCACGTCTGTAACCCCAGCACTTTGGGAGGCCAAGGTGGGAGGATCGCTTGAGCTCAGGAGTTCCAGACCGGCCTGGCCAACATGGTGAAACCGTCTCTACTAAAACATACAAAAAATTAGCTGGGCATGGTGGCAGGTGCCTGTAGTCCCAGTTACTTGGGAGGCTGAGGCAGGAGAATCACTTGAACCCAGGAGGCGGAAGTTGTAGTGAGCCGAGATTGCGCCACTGCACTCCAGCGTGGGCAACAATGCAAGACTCTGTCTAAAAAAACCAAAAAACCACCAAGCAAAAAATGGGCATGGTGGCACGTAACTACAGTCCCAGCTACTTGGGAGGCTCGCCTGGGGTCAGGTGTTTGAGGCTGCAGTGAGGCTCAAGTGATTGCGCCACTGACTCTAGCCTGGGCAAGAGTGAGACTCTAAACAACACATAGCAAAACAAAAAACGTTGCACATCCAACTGAGCCCCTTGGGCTCCAGGCTAAGATGACCTGTGTATCTCTCATGAGGAACTGAGGCAGCATGAGGGCCCTCACACCTGGTGTGTATGCTGAGTGGCCCCGTCTGTGCACAGTAGACACAGGCAAAGCCCAGAATTGAAGACACCTGCTCCAGCCAAAACTCATAGGGCCGTTTTCAGAGCAGCACTATTCACAGTTGCCACAAGGGGGAAGCAACATTCACAGTTGCCACAAGGGGGAAGAATATCCATTAAAGGATGGATAAGGCTGGGCGACGTGGCTCACGCTGGTAATTCCAGCACTTTGGGAGGCTAAGGCAGGCGGATCACTTGAGTCCAGGAGTTCGAGACCAGCTTGGGCAACAAGGTGAAACTCCCGTGTCTAAAAAATTTAGAAAAATTAGACTGGCATGGTGGTGCATGCTTGTCATCCCAGCTTCATGTGCTGATGGAGCATGGGGTTCCCTCCCTTCTAGGTGAGGCTGGACCAGAGGAAAATGATCAATGGAGGGGGATGGGGACTTAGGCTTCCATCATGTCCCCTGGCTCAGATTTGGAGACCGTATCCTCATGCTGTCAGCTGAAGATCCTGCCACAGAGGGGACTCCCACAGGCATGGCAGGGAGGGTGGCAGCTGTCTTTGGGATGGCTCGAAAAGGGAACAGAGGAAACAACAAAGACACAGCGCATGGCTCCTGTAAGTCATTTTACTTTGAATATATAGGAAACGAAATCCACAAACAGGAAGCTATGTTCTATGGTTACGTCTTTTAAACAATGTTCTGTATTTACAAATTGTTTTTTTTTTTTCCCTAAGTAAAAGCACCAGCTGAAAAGTTATAGGCTGCTAAAACCGTTACGATATTACAAACCCATTAAAAGACATTATGCCAAACATACTTATTAAAAACCTTAACAAAACGAAGAGACAACGCAACCAACAAATTGAGCCACCATGCTGGGCTGGGTGGCAGGTCCGATTTCGCTGCCTGTGTTTCTGATGAACAGGGCTGGGAGTGCTTACCCCAGGGAGAGGACTCTCGCCCACCAGCAGGCAACTATGGGGACAGAGCTGGGGAGAGGCAGCTGTGTCTGAAGGAAACACATAGGCCTCACTTCCTGCCGTGGGTGGCCTCCTGGGCAGACCCCCCAACCTGCAGGCCACAGGACAAGAGCAGAGGTGTACAGGAGGGTCTGGCCAACTTTCAGCTGTTCATCTGCCGACGGAATGCCTTTCTGCAACCTCCTTATCCTCGTACACCAAAGGGTCTGGAGTTTTTGTTTTTTCCTAGACACTTAGCTATAGGACAGTGTGATGTGTCCTCAGGGATTTGCTGTCTGCCTTCCATTGTTTTATTTTTGCTTGTTTTTGAGACAAGGTCTCACTGCCGCCCAGGTTGGAGCGCAGTGGCCATCAGGCTTTCTGCAGCCTCAATCTCCCGGGCTCAAGTGATTCTCCTGCTCCCCAGTTAGCTGGGACTATAGGCATGTGTCACTGTAACTGGCCTCTATTCTTGCAATTGAATGAGATGGTATGAGGCGCTGAGTGACCCACAGGAAGGTACTTGTCAAAAGCTTTGTGTCACCAGATGTGGCCATAGAAGGAGGTTCAAAGCTCACACACACGCACACACACAGACGCACATGATTTGGCTTCCATAAAGCTCGAGTAGAATATTAAATATCGAGTACTGAGTTTTTAATTGTAAACTTAAGATCTCCTCCTTAACTTTACATATACATAGATAACAGGGTGGTCATGAAAAGCACTTTAACATCAGGGCAGATGTTAAGTTCTGAGGTTCTGTTTTCAACTGCTCTACATACAAAATGCCCTACAAGCAAAGAAAGGCTTAAATAAATAGATGGGGACGAACATGACGCACGCTGTGGTGACGTGAGTGTGGTGTGCAGGGGTTGGACAATGCGGGGCCCAGGTGGGCAGGAGCATATTGTGGAGACACAGGTGGTGGCATCTCAGGGATGAAGGGGAGGACCTGGGAGGCTCCTTCAAGGTGGAGCCGGCAGAGGCCATGGCTTGGAAGTTGGGACAGGGACAGCTTGTGGGCCAGTGCCACACGCTCTCCTACTGGTCTCATGGCCCTGGAGGCAGCACTGGGTAGCACAGACAGGGCCAGGCTCTCCCCTGGTGACCCAGAGATGGTGGTGGTCCATCCCCGTCCCTCTGACCAGCCTGTCACTGGTGCTGATGTCAGCCTGGCTGTGGGTGGTAGCCAGTGAGGAACGGGGTTATTGACAGCCCTGCCTTTGGCTAAGGCACACCCAGCCTAGGGATCCTGAGCAGCTGACCCAAGCAATCCAGCGTCCCTTCAGTCACAGACGCGGAAGCTCCCAGAGGCAGCTCCACAGAGCAAGGGTAAGAAGACCTGAAACCACCACCTACCCTGCCGAGCAGGACCCCCACCACCTGCAGCAGGGAAAGGCTCCTGGTTTCCAGAAGCTGGAGGTGGTGTCTTGAGCCCTGGCACCTACTGCTGATGTCTTAACCCCTGATCCCACCTCCCAATGGCACATGGTAACCTGATTATCTAAAAGTGGGTAAAACCAAACACTGCTCTCTGGACCCAGCAGAAGCTCCCTGGGGCCTGGCTAGGGAGGGGGTTTCACACTGTGCCCCAGAGGCCTGGCAGGGGAGACAGGGAGGGTAGGGGACCAGGAGGCTGAGCCACTGCCCACAGACATCCTCTACAGGGAAGGCCACAGATCTGCCAGGAACAAAGTCCCTGTGCTCCAGATCTGGGGGTGGGGCCATGCCACGCACCCTAAGCTAGCTGAGGAGGTGATCTTAAATTTGGGAGAGGAGCTGCTCCCCTACTTTGTGCCCCTCAGCAGCCAAAGGATGGAAGAAGGTGGCTGGTGCAACAGGAGCTCCAGCTTCAGCTCCATGGATCTTCACTGCACACCCGTGTGCACACACACGCACACCCGTGTGCACACACACGCACACCCATGTTTATGGTCACCTGCACCCCCCATGGTGGGATGGCGAGTCCAGTCAAGGTGCAGATGTTTGGAAGCTGAGTTCCTGTGTCCCTGAGGGTTCCTGACCAGAGGCCCCAGCTGCTGCAGGACCGATGCTGGAGAGAAAGCTGGGAAAAGTGCTGGGATCTGTGCTTCGTCCCGCAGGCGGGCCATCACTTCTTCCCTCCAAATTCAGGCCAGAAACTGGCATCCGCGCTCTGGAAACTGCCTTGAGCAGAGGAAACACTCCACCTGCTCGGCATCAAGGCCTGGGCGATGGAGTCAGGCATGGTGCCCCTGGGGCACCACCTACCCTGGCACACAGGATCAGGATCTGCCAGGGGCCTGCACCCTGCTCCTGGCCAACATGACCCAGATGCAGAGGCAGGACTGAGGCACTGAGGTCCACTCTGAAGGGTGGCTCTGGAGAGATGGCACCTGAGTGCCACCTGTGAGCCTCTGCACTGGGGGCCCAGTGCGAGGTGGCAACGGCTGCCACCCCCCCTGGGAGGGCAGGGACTGGCCCCGCACATTCCCAGGAATTGGAAGCTCTATAGACAGTCAGGAAGGAAGCATGCCTCAGGGGCAAGCTTGAGTGCCACCTGGGTGGAAGCCGGAGACACGCAGGCCCTGCGGAGCTGGACGGCCCCATCCGGGCCTCACAGGAGGCTGGCCAGGCTGGTGTTGGGTCCATTCTGAGCTTGGAACTGCACGGGAGGTGGACCGTCCGTCCACTGTGGGGAGGAGAGGACATGCGAGTGAGGCACTGTGGGCCGTTCCCAGGGAAGAGGAGGCTGGAATGCTACCCTCCTTGGGCTGCTCACCCAGCCAGGACTCTGTTCTCCACGCCCCAGTCCAACGAGCCCCAGGAGGCACCTGTGTCCCCTGCTTGGGTGGGGGTGCCTGCAGCCGTCTCCCCCACTAGAGGGCGCTCCTGAGGCTGCGTTAGGGTTTGTTGGACAAAGACAAACAGGGGCCAAGCTGTACTTTCCTCTTACAAGTGGGGAGCCCGCTGGTCCGAGATCCCATCCCCACGCACCCCACACCCGTACCGTGATGAGGTTGTGTTCGGGGAGGCTGCAGGCCTCAATGTGGTCCTGAAGCAGCTGCTGCGAGAAGTTCTGGTGCATCTGAGCGGCCTCATGGGCATCCATGGCGTTCCCACAGGCTTTATTCAGGTCTGAGAGTGCGACATGAGCATGGGGGCCTGCCTTGCCCTGTCACTGCCCAGGCCCTCCCACTGGGTGCAGGTGGAACCCCAAGATCAAGTCCCAGCTGCGCCAGTTGATGTCTGGGTGCCTGGCATGTCACTGGCCCTGAGCCCCATGTTGGGATCACAAAGCCCATGTGTGAGCCGCCCTCATAGGGCAGAACAGGGCTGGCTGGGCAGTGAAAGCCCAATGCCAGGCTCCCCAGCAGCCCTCCAGGGAGCCCATGGCCTGCCCTCAGGCAAACAAGTGCTCACTGGGGCACAATGCCCGACACTGACCCTGAGGCAGCGGCCCAGGGAGCCCACTGCACATGGAGCACCCCACCTCCTGTCACCTCCCCAGGGCCCTGGCTGAGTCTCTGGACCTGTTTCCTAATCTGGAAATGGAGGAGCTGCGGTAACAGCACTGATGATGCCCACTGAGTGCCTGCCCTGCTCCTGGGTACACTGGCCAGCCCTACCCAACAGGCATGGCCGCTGTCTGCTTTCCCGGGAAGGAGCAAGGCTGAGAGAGCCATGGCTCACAGCCCAAGTCTACCAGGTGCCAAGTAGCAGCCTCTGGGTCCTGTAGAGACTGAACCAGACCCTGAGTCAAGCAGATGCCACAAATGCACCCAGTGACCTCAACCAGGGCCTCCTGGAGGAGCACCCCTACCTATGCAGGAACTGGGGCTGTAGCCCACTGAGGCCCAGTCCCAGCCACGGCTGAGCAGGACGTGCACAGCAGCCCTGATCTCTGGGGAGGGCCAGGCTGAGGACGGGGAGGAGGGGCGGCCACTGCACTGACCTCTCAGCAGTGCCGATGACCACAGCTGTACCGACATGTCTGGGATCTTGCTGGCCAGCTGCATGGCGGGAACCACCATGTTGTTACTCTCCTGTCAACCAAGAGCAGTGAGAAGGAGTGAGGAGCCCGGACCCCACTTGCCGAACCCAGTCCAGGTTGGGGTGGGGATATCCTGGAATCCATCTACCGAATCCAGCCCAGGCTGTGCCCTCCTTCTGTATCTGGTGAACTCTTATGCCTACCTCGGAGCCCATCTCAAATAGCCCTCTCCGAAATACCACTGAAAAACAAACTGCCCTCACTCCTGGCTTTGCAGCTACCTCCTCACAGGGGCATGGACAATGGACAACTCTGGGTGCTTCTGCCTTTTCAAGTGAAGAAAAAGCATTGATGGCAATTAGCCCTGGACCCACAATGGAGGCTGATCGGAAACGCAGATTCATTCAGGGTTCCAGGTCCTGAGAGGGCAGCAGCCCCTCCAGTTTGCCTTCTATACCTGAGTTGGCTCTCATGGGAGGCCCCACAGACGGGAACCAGCATGCAGAAATCCTCTGATCCCTACTCCCTGCCTCATGACTACACAGGGCCACCCCTACTTGCAGCCCTAGAATCCTCAGGATGTGGCAGAAGAACTCAGTAAGAGCCATCAGGGGCCATAGATGCCCGTCCCTGTCGCCACGGGGAGGGCCTGGAGCCGGCAGACAAGAGCCTGTGCCACACAGACTACAGGGCGACCAGCAGCACTGGTCTGACTGTCCGGGCCAAGGACTCTAAGCCCCGTCAGCCTGGATGTGGCGTTCAGGTAAGGCGTGGAGAATTCCCTAGATGGTGACTTTGGCAGCCTCGGGAGCACTTGGGAAGCCAAGATGGACACATCCCCAAAGCCAACTCCTGAGACCTGGCTTCAACGCCACCAGATACTCCTCCAGAGTGCAGGGATGCTTCTCCAGAGACACAAAGCCCAACAACTCTATGCTGTCCTGTGGCTGCACCTTGAAAGTGAGGTCCAGGTGGGTCTTAGAGATTTTAAAATTCACCAAGCCCTTCTGAAACTTCAAGCAAGAAAAACTGCTCTCCTCTGCTAGGCCTGTGGGTGGTTGGCTTGTTGGGATCTGGGCTGGGCACTCTGCAGAAAGCCAAGGGCCTCTGTCTGAAAACAGCCTGGGGAATGAGAGTCCTCCCTCAGCTCTCCCAATAGCTTGGGATGCCCCACAGAATCTGGTTTTGAAGACTTGAGTGATCCTGGGAGGTTGTCCTATGCCTGTGGATATTCTAGCCTAACAGGCCCAGGACAGGGCATCCCAAGCTCTTCTGGGCCCCTGGACCCTCACCTGAGCCCATCTTGGCTATTCAGCCTTCTGCTCTGGCACTTGTGCGCCGGCTGCTATGGTGCCCATCTCTGCGGTAGCTCCTGCCTGGTCAACCTTGCCCTGTCTACACCAATACCATCCAGGCAACCAAGGCTGCTGCCTTTCTGGATGCCCCCAGCCTCACCTCACAGGACTGACTTGGCTGTGTCTGGCCATGTCTCCCTGAGATCTGGAGTCACTTGAGGCCAGGACCTTGGTCTGAGGGTTCTTGGGAGCTGCCTGTCTCCTGACAAGGGCCCAGGAACACAGGGAGCAGAGGGAGATTCCTAAACGAGCTCTGTGAGACGCCCGGCGAAACCTAAAATGTGGGCCGGGGCCGGCAGCCAACGGGCTGCTCCACCCTCCTTTCCTGCTCCAGGGGTCTTCTACACAAACAGGAGCCAGTGATGTCTGGGTTCAAGTCCTGGGACTGCAGTGTGGGGCTGTGTGACCTTAGTCTTCCCATCTGACATAACCCCAGGCTACCTGCACTGTCCAGTGGGGACACGCAGCCCTTACTGTGCTCAGAGGCTGAGGAGAGAGGGACAGCACATTCTAGAAGGAGCCAGCTACAGGTTTTGACAGGGTGGTGGCATCCCCGGAGTTGAGGCCAAGGCCCACCAGGACCCGATATGCAGGGCCCATTTGCTGGCCTCTGCAAAGGCTTACCACACAGTTGTGTGTCTGTGCAGGTGGGGGTGGGGGGGAAGGCGGCACCAGGTTTGTTAATAGTGTCCATGCTGAGGGAGCCCTCAGACCACATGAAACTTTACAGGCCAAGACACACATCCTGCATTATCTGTGCCATGGAAATGGCTACAGTGAGGATGGCTAAACTACAGAGCAGATGCTGCTTCAAAACACTCACTGCCATTAAAAAAAAAAAAAAGCCGGGCGCGGTGGCTCACGCCTGTAATCCCAGCACTTTGGGAGGCGGAGGCGGGTGGATCACAAGGTCAAGAGATCGAGACCATCCTGGTCAATATGGTGAAACCCCGTCTCTACTAAAAATACAAAAAATTAGCTGGGCATGGTGGCGCGTGCCTGTAATCCCAGCTACTCGGGAGGCTGAGGCAGGAGAATTGCCTGAACCCAGGAGGCGGAGGTTGCGATGAGCCGAGATCGCGCCATTGCACTCCAGCCTGGGTAACAAGAGCGAAACTCCGTCTCAAAAAAAAAAAAAAAGCTTCTAAATTATCCGGTGGCTCAGGCCTGTAATCCCAACACTTTGGGAGGCCGAGGTGGGCAGATCACCTGAGGTCTGGAGTTTGAGACCAGCCTGACCAACATGGCGAAACCCTGTCTCTACTCAAAATACACAATTTAGCCAGGTGTGGTGGCATGCACCTGTAATCCCAGCTACTCGGGAGGCTGAGGCAGGCTAACCACTGGAACCTGGGAGGTGGAGGTTGCAGTGAGCCAAGATCATGCCATTACACTCCAGCATGGGCAACAGAGCAATATTCTCTTTTTTTTGTAACCATACACAAAAAACTCAAGAAAGACTCCATCTAAAAAAAAAAAAAAAAAATTACCAAACAGGCTGATAAGCAAAACCTCCACGTGGGAGGGGTGGGCAGTGGGAAGGGCTGGATGACAGAAGACATGTAATTTTTTTCTGTTCTGCTTCTCAGCCTTCTAATAATGAACATGCCATATTTTATAATCTAGAAAAATAACATGTTTTTTTTTTTTTTTTTTTTTTTTTTTTTGAGACAGGGTCTCACTATGTTGTCTAGGCTGGAGTACAGTAACATGATCACAGCTCATGCAGCCTCAACCCCCTGGGCTCAAGAGATCCTCCCACTTCAGCCTCCCAATTAGCTGGGACCACAGGCATGAGTCACCACACCCGGCTAATTTTTTTCCTTGGTTTTTGTAGAGATGGGATCTCACTATGCTGGTCAGGCTGATCTTTTTTGCTTTTGTTTTGAGATGGAGTCTCACTTTGTCACCCAGGCTGAAGTGCAATTGTGGTGTCTCAGCTCACCGCAACCTCTGCCTTTTGGGTTTCAGTGATTCTCCCGCCTCAGCCTCCTGAGTAGCTGGGATTACCGGTGTGTACCACAACACCCGGCTAATTTTCATATTTTTAGTAGAGATAGGGTTTCACTATGTTATAGGCCAGGCTGGTCTTGAACTCCTGACCTAGTGATCTGCCTGCCTCAGCTTCCCAAAGTGCTGGGATTACAGGGTAAGTCACCACACTCTGCCAGGCTGATCTTGAATTCCTACCCTCAAATGATCCTTCCACCTCTGACTCCCAAAGTGTTGGGACTATAGGCCTGAACCACTGTGCCGGGCTGGAAAATAACATTATTATTATTTTTTTAAGAGATAGCATCTCTAGGGCCAGGCGCAGTGGGTCACTAGGACTTTGGGAGGCTGAGGTGGTTGGATTGCTTGAGCTCAGGAGCTCGAGACCAATGTGGGCAACATGGAGACCTGGTCTCTACCAAAAATACAAAAAATTGGCTGGGCGCGGTGGCTCAAGCCTGTAATCCCAGCACTTTGGGAGGCCGAGGCGGGTGGATCACGAGGTCAAGAGATCGAGACCATCCTGGTCAACATGGTAAAACCCCGTCTCTACTAAAAATACAAAAATTAGCTGGGCATGGTGGCGTGTGCCTGTAATCCCAGCTACTCAGGAGGCTGAGGCAGGAGAATTGCCTGAACCCAGGAGGCGGAGGTTGCAGTGAGCCGAGATCGCGCCATTGCACTCCAGCCTGGGTAACAAGAGTGAAACTCCTCCTCAAAAAAAAAAAAAAAATACAAAAAATTAGCTGAGCATGGTGGCACACACCTGTGGCCCCACCTACTTGGGAGGCTGAGGTGGGAGGATCGCTTGAGCCTGGCGGAGCTATGGTGGCTGTGAGCTGAGCTGAGATCATGCCGCTGCACTGCAACTTGGGTGACGGATTAAGACTTGGCCTTGAAAAAGAAAAAAAAAAAAAAAAGGTCTTGCTAGGTGGTCCAGGTTGGTGGTCTTGAACTCCTGGGATTAAGTGACTCTCCACATCAGCCTCCCAAAGTGATGGGATTACAGGCAATGAGCCACTGTCTGGCCAAAAATATCTTTTTTCTTTTTTTGAGATGAGTCTTCCCCTCACCTAGGCTAGATGGAATGAAGTGGCGTAACCTCAGCTCACTGCAACCTCCGCCTCCTGGGTTTAAGTGATTCTCATGCCTCAGCCTACCAAGCAGCTGGGATTACAAGTGCCCACCACTGTACCCGACTATTTTTGTATTTTTAGTAGAGATGGGGTTTCACTATGTTGGCCAGGCTGGTCTTGAACTCCTGACCTCAGGTGATCCATCCACCTCAGCCTCCCAAAGTGCTGGGATTACAGGTGTGAGCCATTGTGGCTCGCCAAAATATTTTCTAAAAAATAATCATAAAATAAACAAACAAAAAAGGCTGGGCATGGTGGCTCATGCCTATAATCCCAGCAATTTGGGAGGCTGAGGCAAGTGGATCACCTGAAGTTGGCAGTTCGAGACCAGCCTGACCAATATGGATAAACCCTGTCTCTACTAAAAATACAAAATTACTATCCTGCCTAACACAGTGAAACCCCGTCTTTACTAAAAATACAAAAAATTAGCCGAGGTGTGGTGGTGTGCACCTGTAGTCCCAGCTACTCAGGCAGAGGCAGGAGAATCGCTTGAACCCGGGAGGTGGAGGTTGTAGTGGGCAGAGATCATGCCACTGAACGCCAGACTGGGTGACAGAGCAAGACTCTGTCTCAAAAAAATAAAAAACAACAACAAAAAAACCCCCCAAACCACACACAGAATTAGCTGGGTGTGGTGATGTATGCCTGTCATCCCAGCTACTCAGGAGGCTGAGGCAGGAAAATCAGTTGAACCGGGGAGGCAGAGGTTGTGGTGAGCAGAGATCGCGCCATTGCACCACTTCAGCCTAGGCCGTAAGAGTGAAACTCCATCTCAAAATTATAGAAAAAAAAAAAGTAAAGAAAATTCAGCCGGGCGCGGTGGCTCAAGCCTGTAATCCCAGCACTTTGGGAGGCCGAGGTGGGTGGATCACGAGGTCAAGAGATCGAGACCATCCCGGTCAACATAGTGAAACCCCGTCTCTACTAAAAATACAAAAAATTAGCTGGGCATGGTGGCACGTGCCTGTAATCCCAGCTACTCAGGAGGCTGAGGCAGGAGAATTGCCTGAACCCAGGAGGCGGAGGTTGCGGTGAGCCGAGATCGCGCCATTGCACTCCAGCCTGGGAAACAAGAGCAAAACTCTGTTTCAAAAGAAAAAAGAAAAAAAAAGAAAATTCAACACCTTGTGAGATCAGGTGGGTGAGAGTAGGTGAGGAATTGACAGGAAGGACTGAGGCGGCTGGTCCTGTCAGAGACCAGCTAGCTTTGGGTGGGGACCAATCCCAGGGGCTACTTGTACCCTGAGAGGACACTGTGCATGCCAGGCAAGAATGAAATGTTTGGGATTCTGGCTGAGAGGAGGTATCTCCCTTCCCCTTGGGTGTCCACAGGATGGGGTGTCTGTGTCATCCCTGCCAGCTCAGGGCAGCTTCTTTGGCCCTGGCTTCAGCTCCCTGACCCCTGGAGCTCTGCCTGCCTGATGTCTGAGGCCAAACCCATTTGGCCCCCTGCCTGCCCCTACACCCTCCGTGGGTGCCCAGCTCCCCTGCCCCTGCCTGTCCAGACTGGCAGCCAGGGTGCCCACCTAGACACACTCTTTGAGGGGCATAGGATGAACAGCACCATGCTGCCTCTAGGCTGCTGGCTGGCTCCTGTCCCTCAGCCAGCCCCACAGGCACCCAACCAAGGGTCCCAGGCCAGGGCACTCACTCGATGGTTTCCCAGCACGTAGAAGATGTGGCCCAGGAGCACAAGGGAGCAGGCCGTGAGCCGGTTCAGGTCCTCGGCATTGGACATCTTCAGAGTTTCCCGCAGAAATCGCCTGACAACGCAGGAGAACGCAGACACTGACGCCTGCAGGACGGGGCCTGGGACACCCTGAGCACAGCCCACCCGCTGCCCTCTGCCCTGCACTCACTTGGCCTCATTGTAGCGTCCCTGGAAGAAGGAGAAGAGCCCGCGCACATAGAAGGCAGCCGCTCGTAGGCAGTGTGAGCTGCGGGGAGAGTGCAGCGTCACGTGGGGGTGGGGATTTAGGTAAAGCAGCAGGTTTACAAAAGGGCGGTGGGCAGGTGGCAGGGGAGGAATTTCCGAGAGCCCCCTGCTGCAGACTGTGTGAGGAGGTGTGTACGGGGTATCAGGGTGCAAAAGGCAGTTGGGGGCCCCACTCAAAGAGCACGGGGAGCCTAGGCCATGTGTGGAGTGGCGCCTGGAGCGGCTCACCTGACAGGGAAGCTGTGGTCTGGGTTGATCCTCTCCAGCAGACTGTAGAGCTAGGGGAGGAAGAGCCAGTCAGCACCATTCTGCATTTTCACAGACGAAAGGTTCCCCCCAACACACTGCAGTACATGGGCGTTTCTCTACACTCCTGTAGGGACTGTGGCTGATCAGGCAGAGCCTGGTGACTGACCAGCAAGAGTGGTCTCTGGTGAGAAACGCCAGGGGCAGGACCCTCACACCCTCAACCGGCCCTGCCTGTGCCACCCTGTCCTGTGGTAGGTGATGGGGGCCTGGGTGTCCAGAAGGCCTCTGTGTGGTCAGAGTGACACTGAGGGGTAGTGGGCAGATTGGCAGGCTGGGGCCCGTGAGCCCTGTGGGCTGGTGGGGGTGAATGGAATCTCTCTGGAGGTATGGGGACCCCGTGAGGCTCTGATGGGGGCGTGATCTAGTATTTTAGATGCCCTCTGGCTGCAGAGGCTCAGGGGAGCCAGGCTCCTCCTCAACACTGTGAGCCCACATCTGGCATCAGATGACACAGCCAGGGCTGGATCATGGCTCACTGTAGCCTCAACCTCCTTAGCTCAAGTGATTTCTCCTGTCTCAGCCTCCCTAGTTGGGACCACAGGCCCATACACCCACACTGGGTTATTTAATAAATTTTTTTGTAGAGATGGGTTCTCACTATGTTGTCCAGGTCTTTAACTCCTGACCTCAAGGGATCCTCCTGCCTTGGCTTCCCAAAGTGCTGGGATTACAGGCCTGAGACACTTTGGAGGCAGACTCTGAGGGTTGAAAGGGAGACTAGGACTGAGGGACATCCTAGGGCTGAGGGACATCCTAGGGCTGAGCGACATCCTAGGACTGAGCGACATCCTAGGGCTGAGGGACATCCTAGGGCTGAGGGACATCCTAGGGCTGAGGGACATCCTAGGACTGAGCGACATCCTAGGGTTGAGGGACATCCTAGGGCTGAGGGACATCCTAGGGCTGAGGGACATCCTAGGGCTGAGAGGGATCCCAGGGCTGAAGAGGTAATCCCGGGGGCTGATAAGAAGATCCTAGGGCTGAGTGAGGATCCCAAGGCTGATGGAAGATCCTAGGGCTGAGAACTGCAGAGGGAACCTGACTCTTGTAAGCACTGGCTCAGAAGTCCACGTGACGGTGCTTGGCCTATGAGGACAACCCTGGGCGCCCCTACCCAACACTCGAGCCAGTTAGAGCCCCTGACCCTGCAGGGGCACCAGTACAACCTGGGTACAAGGTGCCTCAGCTGCTGCCCCTTGGACTGGGCCTCAAGGCCTGGCCGATATCCTATAGCAGAATGCTTGGGCTACAAGACTTTGTCTGTGGGATGCATACAGCTTGGTTTCTTTGCCAGAGAGAAGTGTTCTGTGGCTATGGGAATGTCGTTGTCCCAGACCTGGCCTCCCTCGATCCACCTCTGGGTCACCCTGTGTGCCTCTGTGTCGAGTGCAGCCCATCCCTCAAAAGGTGAACACCCTGGGGTTTGCTGTCAGCTGAGATTTGCTGGTGCCCAGGACAACCCCCTGGTTCCCCAAAAAGAAGAGAACGGAGAGAAAGGATACCAAACATGAAGCATGTCACCTACTACCTCTTGGTGCCTATTTCCTTCCCGTATATACACACTCGCCAGGTTGGTGACGATGAAGGCCCACAGCTCCTGGTGGTTGGTGAGCTGCAACGGGAGATAGGGACATTAGGAGGCTGGGCCGGGTGCTGTGACCCACATGGCAGTGTCAGAGCCACCCACAATCTCCACGGAGACTAATTCAGAAAAGACTTGTTCTTTTCATTTCAAATACACCTGCCTTGCCTCCTAAACCCAAGGGTAACACAGCTATCAATTCTTCTCATTATAAACCATTGTCTGCCTTACAGAGCAGTTAGAGAACAGAGAAGAGGAAAACCGGAGGCCAGGCGCGGTGGCTCACGCCTGTAATCCCAGCACTTTGGGAGGCTGAGGCGGGCGGATCACGAAGTCAAGAGATAGAGACCATCTTGGCCAACATGGTGAAACCCCATCTCTACTAAAAATACAAGAAATAGCTGGGTGTGGTGGCACGCGCCTGCACTCATGAAGTCCCAGCTACTCAGGACGTTGAGGCAGGAGAACTGCTTGAACTGGGGAGGAGGCTGCAGTGAGCCGAGATCACACCACTGCACTCCAGCCTGAGTATCAAGAGAGAGATTCTGTCTCAAAAAAACAAACAAACAAATCAGCCACGCCGATCCCATCCTCAGAACATGCTGGGTTTTGGTCCATTTTCTGCTGTCTCTCAGGACAGAGACCTGGTGAACCCTTCCTCCAGCCAGCAACCTGTGGGACCCAGGTGTCCACTGCCATTGAGGCACATGCTGGTCCTGGGTGGGGATTCCTCTTCATGGGGGGAGGAGAGGAAGAGGGGAGCTATTGTTCCAGAGGGGACCAGTACAGGCCCCGCTCCAGAGATGGGTAATGCTGTGTCGGGGGCCAGAAATGCTGGGGATGACAGGTGGTGGATGGACCATGGCCCCTGGCTCTTGTTGGGAAATGAGATCATCAAGACAGGGACCACTCTATGTGGCTCAAGCCCTGCCCAGACCCTGGTTCCCAGTGGGGCTGGGCAAGAGGTAGAGTGAGCCCAGGAAGTACAGACCCCACTGGAACAGACCCTCTCCTGTTGCACAGCCAGGAGGCCCAGAGGATCTCCTGAACCAAGCACGAATGCTCTGAGACACAGCAAGGTGGGGGATATTTGTTGCAGGACCACAGGAGGTGGCGCGTGTGTTTGGGGTTAGTGGGTATGGGGTTGCATCCTGGCCACATCACTCCTGGGTGGGCCATGAAAAAGAAGCTCTTTTGACCCTGGGGTGAGTACTCCTTAGGGTACATGGCCTTGGGAAGCTTGACAGGGAACCAAGCCAGCCGCAGCAACCACTTATGGGGAGTGAGACGCAGAGATGGCAGGATGGCAAAGCATGAAGGGAATCCTGGCCCTGCTGCCATCAGAGTGAGCCACAGTTCTGGGAGTGAGGCAAGGGGCAGAGGAGTGAGTGCTTAGCCGGCCCTTCCCACCCAAACATGCTGTCTGTATGTCAGGGCTCCTGTGTACCTGAGGCCAGTGGCAGGGGTGGCAGTACCCACAGGTCTGTACCCTGTCCCACAGTCAGGGTGCAGGCAGAACTCCCCGGTGACCTTGCTTGAGTGGCAGACAGAGCCGCCCCTGCTCCCTGACACCTCTCCTCAGGGCCCTTCCTAGAATCACCAGGAAAAAGGCGTCCATAGCCCTATTTCCTGTGAGGAGGTTGGGGCTGAGGTGGGGACACGATGGTCCCGCTCTGGGCTGCTTCCAGCCTTCTTCCAGGGCCTGGCAGGGCCCCCATCTGAGGCCAGGAGTCCTTCTCTGCCCACAAAGCACCTGGGGGGTGGCCCAGCTCCATCACTCTCCAGGGGAGCCCTGAATCCAGGGTGGCTCTGAGTCGTCAGCTGACACTGAAGCCAATCCAGCCTTGGGGGGTGGGTGCTGCAAGAGCTCCCACTCAGGCACTAAAGCAGCGTCCCCAGACATGTCATACCTCTCCCTCACGTCTACCCTCAGGTCAGCTCAGGAAGCCCCTGGCCCCATAGCGCTCCCTTATTTAGATAAACAGTGTGTCACTGCCAGGGCTGGCAAAGGCTGATGACTGTGCATGGCCTCTGGTGCTGTGGCTTTGCGTAGCTGACCTAGCGCAACAGCTGTCCTCATCGCAGACCACACCCGACTCCTTACTCACAAGTGTGGCCCGCCCCAGCAGCAAGGAGGGCCGGCACCTTACCCGAAGGGCTGTGGTGAACTGCGCTTCCGCGTTGTCCATGCAGTTGACAGAGACACAGTACAGGCCCTGGAAGAAGGTGGTGGTGTCATCAGGGCCGGCCCCCGGGAAGGTCCCACTGAGGACTCAGATCAGAGACCATTCGGTGTGCCCGGGGCCTACACGGCTGGCCTGGAGGAGTATGACAATGGCTCTACCGAGTCAGCTGTGAGGCAGGTAACATGCTCACTGTCCCCGTCTTTCAGACCCAAGCCAACGTGGGGCGGGACAGGATGCTCACTGGAAGCATTCTGGATCCTGCCTGGGGAGGTTACGTGATTACCTATGGGAACATTCCAGATTCTGATTAGGGTGCTGTCAGGGGGTTCTTCACTGGGCATGTTCTCGATCTGGTTAGGTGCTTACTTACTGGGAACATTCTGGATTCTCCTGGGGTGCCGTCACGGGGTTACTCACCAGCAGTGTGTGCAGCTGTGCTGCGTGGTTGGAGAAGAGCCGGGGGGACTGCTGGCACAGCTGGCAGACCTGGGAGATCTGCCGGGAGAGCGTGTGCTGCCGTCACCAGACTGCAACCTGGGACCTGGCGTCTGAGCAGCACTGGGGAGACCCCATACCTGGTGCGTGAGCCCATGTCCCGTCTGCCCAAACTGGGGTACAAAGCCCCAGCAGACACATCCCCCATGAGGGCAAAGGGCAGCCTGGACCCCACTGTGGACAAGGACCCTTGTCTGTTACTCGCCTCCTCCACCCCATCCAACAGGTGTCTGGGCCATAAAGGATCTCTGGCCTACTCAAGGACCCCATCCCCCTCTCAGGAGGGTGGGCACTGGGGGTAGAGAGCGTTCCTGATGGCAGGGTGGAGTATAAGAATCACTATCAAGGGACCCCCACATTTCCAGAGACCATGTATGCTATTCTCTTGGCGTGCAAGCTTTTGGGCCATGGCCCATCAGTTTGTTTGTTTTTTTTTTTTGAGACGGAGTCTCACTCTGTTGCCCAGGCTGGAGTGCAGTGGTGTGATCTTGGCTCACTGCGACCTCTGCCTCCCATGTTCAAGTGATTCGTCTGCCTTAGCCTCTCAAGTAACAGTGGGATTATAGGTGCCTGCCACCACACCTGGCTAATTTTTTTATTTTCAGTAGAGACTGGGTTTTGCCATGTTGGCCAGGCTGGTCTCAAACTCCTGACCTCAATGATTCACCCACCTCAGCCTCCCAAAGTACTGGGATGACAGGCGTGAGTCACCATGCCTGGCCTCCACTGGTTTTTGCATGAGATTCTCTGATCAGTGGTGCCTATGCAGGGCTGAGAAACGCTGGAGCGAGACAGCAGGATGGGCTAGCGTTGGCTGAATTGGCCAGTGTACACTTGGCGAATTCAGCCTCTTGTCTGACACTGCTGAGACCCATCGACTCCTGGGCCTTCCCGCCCCTTGTGCACTGCCCAGCCTTACCTCCTGCAGCGCCGTGGCCTTGTGACCCGTGACGAGGCGGCACATGATGATGTGCTCCAGCAGGATTACTTGGAAGGATGACAGGATGGGGCTGCAGTCCAGCACTGTGAGCGAGAGCCGGGGATGAGCAGGCAGGGGAGGCTGGAGGAGGCACCGCCCCCAGCCCACCATGCCCCCACCTTATTCCTGTCTCCTGCTATACTGGCCAGGCACCCACCCCGTCATCTCCCCAGTCCCCACTACCCACTCTGAGTGAGGGAGTATGTCTTGGTGTCCACGTGAGAAGATGGAGCGGGAGCTAGAGTTTGGTTCCCACAGTGTTCCAAGAGGGGTCGGCTCTGACCCTCACCCCTCACCCTATGTGCTCAATAGCTTGTGGACACAGCAGGTTCCAGAAATGTGGAAACCATCCTGGATCATGAGACCATGCAACAGAGCCTCAGGCAGTGGGTGGGGGGACGTGGGCCAGGCCCTACCTCCTGGCAGCCCCAAGCAGCCAACCTCACATGGGAACATGACAAAGAGCAGCACAGCCTTCTTGGGCTCCAAGCTGGCTTGACTCTGATGCCTTCTCCCCCAGCAGCACTCACGAGGGTGCAAACAGGCAGACTATCAGGCACACTGCATCAGCCAGAGATACCTGTTCTGGGTTTGTGCTAGTCAAAGGTCCCTGGATGGATTAGACAGTTGAGCATTTGGAAAGAACTCAAGACTTCCAAAGGACATGATGGTGGTCAGTGAGGACTGAATTCTAACCCTGGCCTCATTCCAAGTGTCCCCATCACACCATTGATAATAATCGGGAAGCCGGGCGCGGTGGCTCAAGCCTGTAATCCCAGCACTTTGGGAGGCCGAGGCGGGTGGATCACGAGGTCAAGAGATCGAGACCATCCTGGTCAACATGGTGAAACCCCGTCTCTACTAAAAAAATACAAAAAATAAGCTGGGCATGGTGGCGTGTGCCTGTAATCCCAGCTACTCGGGAGGCTGAGGCAGGAGAATTGCTTGAACCCAGGAGGCAGAGGTTGCGGTGAGCCGAGATCGCGCCATTGCACTCCAGCCTGGGTAACAAGAGTGAAACTCCGTCTCCAGAAAAAAAAAAAAAAAAGAAAAAGAAAAAGATAATAATCGGGAAAAGCAGCCACCACCTATTTCAACTGAGCATAACTGGGCACAAGGGCCCTGACCACTCAGGGGGGTACCTCCCACCCCAGGCTGGTCTGCTCTGCTCTGCTCTGACGTCGGTTACCAGTATTTATCAATCAGGGTGACAGGACCCACCAAGCAAGGCAGCGCAGTCACACAGGGTCACTGGGCCTTGGCAAAGCCAGCATCTGGCCAGGCCGTCCATCAGGGGGCACTGTGGCCACGTGGCCAGCCGAGCACCTGACTTACTCTTGAGCTTCTCCAGCTGCATGAGAGCCTTGTCCGTGTACTTCTGTGCCTTCTCCAGGTAGCCCGCCTGCATGGAGTGCATCACAGTCACCTGGCGACAAGACCAGACAGCAGGGGTTACCAGGGCCCTCTCCCTCTCCCTGGCCCCGCCCCCAGCCCTGGCCCCGGCAGGACGCACCAGGTAGACGAGCACACACATGTGTTCCTTGGGCAACCAGTGGAAGAGGTCGGCGGGGTTGCTGGGCAGGATCTCGTCGTCGTGCAGCGTGGAGATGGTCTGGATGCACTGCTGCAGCTGCTTCAGACACGGCTTCACGCTCTTCACCTGTGTGCCCACCTAAGTCACACCTTCACCCACACCTGAGTGCCCACCTAAGCCCAGCTGCTCGGGAGGCCAGGCCCAGCCCAGCCATCCCTGCCCTTTCCTCCAGGGAGCACCTTCCTTCCCCTTCTGCCATGGCCACCTCCTGCCAAGATGGACCCACTCCCGCTGCACTCCCATGGATCAGCTGGGCTCTCGGGGCAGGGGCAGGGGCAGGGCCAGGCAGGCAGCTATGGGACTGAAGTTTGTCCACTGCTCAGTGCTGGGCTCAACACCAAGGCCCAGGAGAGGCCTGTCCAGACCCTGCTGGCGCTGCTCTTGGCCTTCCTGCAGCCAGACCCGAGTGCTTTGCAGCAGGTGGGAGGTGGCTTCCTGGCCCAGGAGTCTCGAAGGAGCTGTGGCTCTTACAGACTGGCCCATCTCGTCCTGAAGCCCTGAGGGACGTCTCTGCAGCCCTGGCACCCCAAGAGAAGTGTGGCTACAGTCTGCTCTGTGTCCCTATGTGCCAAGTGCAGCACTTTACCCAATGGGCAATGATGGGTATGGATGGGGGAACTGGGGAACCCCCTTACCAAGCCCTGTGGAGAGGCTCACCTGCAGCCATGGCAAGAGGGGTAGGTCTGAGGGGCAAAGGGCAGCTCCCAGCCCCTGAAGGGTCAAGGCTGTCACACAAGCAGAGATGAGGAGCTCAAACACAGCCGTTCCCCACCCACGGTGGGGTCACAGAGTCCTGTCTCGGACACGGCTGGGCACATCAGTCCCTGCTCAACCCCACAGCAGGGGGGCCAGACAGATACTACTTGGGCATCTGCTGTGCACAGGCACCACCCCAGTGCATCCAAGCTTTATTCTCATGATTCCCTGAACTGCAATTGGAATCCCTGAGCGTCCACATGCTGAGTGAGCATATGCAATGTCACACATCATACTCCCAAACGGTGGTGGGGTGGCCGGGACAGACCCTGCTTCCAGGCACCACCACACCAGACAGGCACAATGGTGCCAGCACTCGCACCACAGCAGGCCAAGAGTGTGTGTGTCCAGGGCTGGAATGACAGTCCTGCTGTGTGACAAGGTAAGGCGATGACACAGATGACCTCACAGCCCAAGACCCATTGGCCTGGGTGCTACCCATACCCACTGGTTGCAACCATCAGCTTGCCCGAGAGGCGCCACGCACCTGCCCGGCATCCAGATAGTGGGTGACTTGGAGCACCAGGAAAAAGACACGCAGCGACTCCTTCTGGATGGGGTTCCCCTGCCAGTTCTCCACGATCTGCCCACAGAGGGTCAGCAGTGGGTGCACCTCCTGCAGCTTGCGCTCCATCAGCAGCAGCTGGGGAGGGAGAGGTGCAGGCATGGGGTGCGTGGCTTGCAGGGGCCCTCCCTGGACCAGGAGCACCGGGCTGCCCACCTGCCCTGGTCCTGCTGCCCCCAACCCAGAGGGCAAGGCCAGCCTGAAACCCCAGCCCAGGCAGCTCCTAACCAGGATTCTGCCTCAGCATAACCCCACAGGGCGGAGCCTGAGCTTCCCTCCTGAACCCTGCAAGGCCCCGGCCTCACCCTCTAGGCTGCTCACTGTGCCCGAGGGTCTGGGTGCCTGAGAGGCCACGCCATCAAGAGCGAGTGGGGTCTGAGCAGACTCTGCGGGGGCCCTGTCTCACCTCCACAACATCAGCCGCATCCAGCCATGCCCAACCTCAACTTACCATCCCCTTGCTGAGGAGGAACAGCGCCCTGCAAAACAGAGGCGGGGGTCAGGTCCCAGAAGGCCCAGGGGCCTCCCGGGATGACTGTGACTGCCCCCAGGCTCACAGGACCTAATGTGCCACCTCAGGAGACAGTTCAGTGGACAACAGTGAATAGTCCCGGATGAAGTTTGTTATATTTACAAGACTGCTCTATTTTATCCTATTGCATCTATATTTCTTTTTTTTTTTTTTTAGACAGAGTTTCACTCTGTCATCCAGGCTGGAGTGCAGTGGTATAATCTTGGTTCACTGCAACCTCTGCCTCCCGGGTTCAAGCGATTCTCCCACCTCAGCCTCCTGAATAGCTTGGACTACAGGGATGTGCCACCACGCCCGGCTAATTTTTTTTATTTTTAGTACAGATGGGGTTTCACCATGTTAGCCAGGCTGGTCTCGAACTCCTGACCTCAAGTGATCTACTACGCCCAGCCTGTATTTATTTTTCTTGCATAGCTTAGATGCACTCATGTGAAAAGCCCAGAAGGTGGCCGGGTGCAATGACTCACGCCTATAATCCCAGCACTTTGGCAGGCCAAGATGGGCAGATCACTTGAGGTCAGGAGTTTGAGACCAGCCTGGGCAACATGGTGAGACCCTATCTCTAGGAAAAAACTTGGCAGTGATGGACACACAGGGTGGGGGCCAGTGGGCAGGCTCGAATGTCAGGCTCAAACCTGCGCCTCATAGTGACTGATTTTTGTATTTTTTGTAGAGATGGGGTTTCACTATGTTGCCCAGGCTGGTCTTGAACTCCTGGGCTCAAGTGATTCTCCTGCCTTGGCCTCTCAAAGTGCTGGGAATATACTGTGAGCCACCGCATCTGGCCTGAAATGCCATTTCTGTTCTTTGTCCTGGACCAAGATGGTCAAGCCCCTTCTAATGTTAAGAGAACAGAAGGGAAGGAGGGGAGCGGGTACCTACCGTGTGTACTCGGATCCCACCACCCGGGCGTACTCGGCCCCCACACCCAGGAGGTCGCAGGCCGACACCAGGTCCTTCTCAAGCGTGTGCAGTTGCTAAAAAGCAGAGAGAGCAGTGACCTTTGCTGTCAAACCCATCAGTTTTACAGTATCTGGCTTTTGTGCTTTGTTAGCAAACTCAACCAAACCTCCCCACCTCAGTGAAACTGCCTGTGTCAGTTCTGAGCGATATTAACCAAATTATCTCAACACTGCTTTGGGTATACAGCTCCAGTTGGCCTGTGGTATATATGTCATCTAAACTGAATGGTGCCTGCAGTAGACAGTGTCTAAACTTAATGGAGTGTAGCATCAGCAGCCAAGGCTCATGTCATAGACCCTCAGGGCTGTTCTGAGTGCTCTGTGGGTGCCTGTGGGGTCCGTCTTCACTGGGATGTCAGTGTGCACCAGGGCCTACAAGGAGAGACTCCCTCAGAGGCAAGTGTCAAAGCCTCAACAGGTTGAAAAGGAGGCACATGCCTGGTTTGATCCTGCAAGGCAACACCTGCGGGGCCATGGTGGAGAACTCGACCCCTAGGTGCACCTGCCAACTCTGAGACCTAGGGCAGGTGACTCATGGCCTGGCCTGCTCCTTTGTCTGCTAATGGGCACAAGTGTGCATGGGGAGATAGAAGACGACAGCGTATGCATGTGGCTTCTCAACAGGCCTGGGGGAAGAGGGCCTTGGGAGCCCTGACTGCTGTGTGAGCTCTTCCCTGTGGGGTCTTTTCTCAGCCAGACCCTCCTGGGGTGAGTGGCTCAGCTGGAGGCATTCTCAACTCAGGGTGCACACACTGCTTGCTTAGGTGGGTATCATGGGAGGTAGCTAAGTGGTGGCCTGGAAGGCAGGCTGGGTCATGGAAGAGAGAGGCTGGGGGTCGCCAGGGAGGGGATGCCTGAGGGTGCCCAGTGCGGAGGTGTGGATGGAGCCCAGGACAGGAGAGGTGTCCCACACAGTGAAGCTTGCTGGTCCCTCCACTCCAGCCAGGAAGGCCCAGTTCAGAGAGTTCCCCAACAACCAAGCATCGTGGAGCTCAGGGACCAGGGGACCACCTACATCTAGGGGGGCTGAAGGGGGAATGAGGGGGAACTATGTGGATCTCAGGATAAAGCTGTGCCCCAGCAGCCCCTGAAAGCGAGGCCCCACGTGGGAAACAAGGTTTGATGTGGACATTCGTGGCCTGATAGGCAGCCCCTTGGAGTCTCAGTGTAGCTCCTAAAAAAACCCACAGCAGGTCTCTGGCAGGAAATGTTCCTGGGATTTCGATGAGTGCAGGCCAAAGATGAGATGAACATGGCTGGGAGGGAGGGGAACTCAAAGACACCCAACAAGCAACAGGCCCACTGTCAATGTCGGTCCCAGGGGAGACCTGCATTCCCACCACTCATCCCTGGGTGCTGCCGAGAGCTAGGCTCAAGCTGGGGATGCTGTCAAGGACGGAGGCTGGAGGGGGCTTGTGAGCAGGTTAAGGAAATGTCCCTATGTACCCCCCTATGTGTGGCAGCCTAAGGGGGTCTCCTCGCTGTGGACTCTGCTATTCTTTGCACATGGGGCAGGTGTGCCAAGGGGTCATGGCCCCTGCCGGGCACCCTCGTGCCTGGGCCATGGTACTTACAGCGAGCTGGAAGAGCAGACGGCAGTGCCAGTATGGGGTCTGCTGTGAGATCTGGATTGCCTTCCGCAGCAGCGGCTTTGCTGCATCAACGGAATTCTGAAAGGAAATAGTCACGTTTGGGAAGCTTAAAAAAAAAAAAAAAAACAAGGCGGCAATCAAGACGGATTCCTTAGCAGCAGCTGCGGTGCCAGAAGGCAGTTCCTGTTCATGCTTACCAAAGGATTTTCTGGGGTTGCCAATTTACTTTATTAAAAGCAAAAAAAGATATTTTATTGGACTCACTGGCTGGGAAGTTTCTGCATCACTCTTAAAATAACTTCTCATTCAACTGGACTGAAAGTAGTTTCAGTTCAAAATTCTAAACAGTCAAATCAGATGCCAGTTCCCATTTTTTATGTTCTCAGAGCAGAGAGAGGCATCGGGGTGTGAAGCACACACATTCCCTGCCGCCAAGGCCACCTTACTCGTCATCATTCTGAGGTGGGAGGAAGGCAAATTTCAGCTACAACTGAAATCAGGAACCAGATTAAGAAGAGAAACTGTACAGACTTGTCAGGCGAGGAACAGGCTGATCTCTCTCACAGCCTTCCGCAGAAAAGGAAGCTGCCCGCCCTTTTTAGCAGGTGACTACCCACCAAAGCCCTGGGGCTGGGGCATAAGAGGCAGGAAGGTAATATCAAGTAATCAAGGTAAAATCAAGGTAATATCAAGCCCAGAAAGGCTGGGCATGGTGGTTCCTGTGTATAGTTTTTGCACTTTGGGAGGTCGAGGTGGGAGGATTGCTTGAGGCCAGGAGTTTGAGATCAGCCTGGGCAAGACCATCTATCTCTACAATAAATTCAAAAATCAGCCAGGCATGGTGGTGCACACCTATAGTCCCAGCTATTCGGGAGGCTGAGGTGGGAGGATCATTTGAGCCCAAGAGTTCAAGGCTGTAGTGAGCCATGATTGTGCCATGCACTCCAGCCTGGGTGACAGAGTGAGACCCTGTCCTTCCCCCAACCAAAAAAAAAAAAAAAAAAAGAGGGAGGGATTCCAACTCCCGGAGCCCCAATGTGCTGACGTGCTTTCACATCTTAGCAACAGGGAGAGATAAGACTTTGCTTTCAGAAACCTGAATATGTTCTTACCTCTTGACAGTATAACTCAGACAACAGACTTGCTGCTTCAAATTTAACATCTTCGAACTGTGGGATCTAGTGACGTCCAGTTAAGGAAGTACAGACACTGTAAAAAAGGTCAGTTTGAAAGGGCCACAGCAGGCTGGGCGAGGTGGCTCATGTCTACAATCCCAGCACTTTGGGAGGCCAAGGTGGGTGGATCACCTGAGGTCTGGAGTTCGAGACCAGCCTGATCAACATGGTGAAACCCTGTCTCTACTAAAAATATAAAAAATTAGCTGGGTGTGGTGGCGGGCGCCTATAATCCTAGCTACTTGGGAGGCTGAGGCAGGAGAATCACTTGAACCCAGGGGATGGAGGCTACAGTGAGCCAGGATCACACCATTGTACTCTAGTCTGGGCAATAAGAGTGAAACTCCATCTTAAAAAAAAAAAAAGGGCCACAGCTTGGGGCTCCTACCCTGCTGACGTCTGTGGGGCACGCACATCCCAGCCTGCCCTGAAATTCCAATTTCTGCTGTTCCCCCAGTGAACCCGGAGCTTGCTGTGGGGCAGAGCTCGGAGCTGGGTGCCAGGTGTGGAGGCAAGCACGAAGAGGAGCACAGTGCCCGGGGGCAGCCGAGGGCTTGGTGGGGACGTCCCAGTGGTTTGTGGGCAGGGCCTCAACTTGCAGGGCATGTTGGGAGGTGGGATTCAAGTTTTGATACATTCTTTTTATTTAAGTGGAGAATTCCTTAACGGGAACTTTAATTTAATTCAACACGGAAAGGATACTTGCTGTGATATCAACCACTGAAAGAGAAAGAAAAAATGATTAATTCTTAGGCAAACACTGGTACCCGGTTACTGGCTCACTTTGGGGTTTCCAGAGTTTGTCCTGAGAATGGAGGCTGCCAGGTGTCCAGGTAACAAGAAGGCAGCCTGCTTGGGCTGAGAGGGTGGGCTCACTCCCCTCCAACCCAGCCAGGTGAATGGAAGCTATAGAGCCCCAGTGGGTGCCTGGGGAGGCGGGGACATGCCCTTCTGACATCAGAGGAGGGGCTGACACTTGGAGTCAGACCCCACAGGCCCATGGGTGGTAGCTGCTTTAGAAAGGAAAAGAGCTCAGAGGTGATCTGGCCCCAGCAAGGCCCCCATGTGTCACGCGGAAGTAGGGCCAGCAGTCAGAGGTCAGGCAGAAAGGAAGGACATTCAGCAAAGCATAACATGAGAAATCAGTTATAAATGGGGAACAGGTCTGTGGGGGCAAGGTCAGCAAGGCATTTGAAAGATGCTCGGCTATGAGCAAAGTCAGCCTCTCCGAGGAGAGGCAGCGGGGCTCCAGGAAGGACCCGCAGGGGTAGAGCTGCAGAAGGGCACAGAAGACGCACACCAGGAAGGCAGTTCAGACAACAGGCTCCAACTCAGGGACAGCTGTGCCCTAAAGTTACATTTTCCAACAGGTTCCTGGGCTAGTCCAGGCCACTGACTACAGCCCATCAAATCACCCAGGGTCCCAAGCACACAAGCCTAATGCCGTCCCCACCAACCTGCACGTGCCACACACATTCAGAGCAATCCACGCCTGACAAGAGCCTTGATGGTTGCTGGAAAGTGGATCCGGAGCAGAGCAGAGACCCTAACTTACCATGTGCTGTGGGAGGCCACGTGGGGCAAAGTATGGAAAGTGAGGGGCCAGTTCTCCAGGCAAAGAGGGAGCACGTGGTGCTCCAGGCACTGAAGAGCCCATGAAAAGGGCACACAGGGCCAGGGAGGTGAGGCTGAAGCCTGATGGCCTCTGCCACTCACTCGGCAACAGCAGCCACTCCCGGCTGAGGGTCAGAATGTCCTGGAGTCACCCCTGGAGACGGACTCAGTAAAGGGTAGAATATGAAAGCACCTGCCCAGATGGGAGTTTTCAGACCATCCCGGATGCAGCAGAGAGAATGCGAAGGGAGGGCGGAGGAACCAGTGAGGCCTGGAGACAACAGGCTCCAAATCACAGCCAATCACACAGAAGAGAGGGGACACTGGAGGGGACTATGACAGAGGAGCTGTGCTAGAGCTGGGCTGAGGTCTCCCCAAACGCTGAAATTTGGCGGTTCTGTGATTTGGGCACCATGGGGGCCAGCAAGGGGAAGCTCTTCGGACATACAGGGTGGACAGAGAGCACTGTAACACACAAGCAGCAAACTCAGCCTGGGTGAGCAAGGTGCAAACCTGGTGCCCGCAGCTGAGCCTGCCACCTGTGACAAAGCTAGCCCCATTTCTGTGTGTCGCTGCATCCTAGCAGAGGTAAGCAAGGCGACCAGGCAACAGGTGAATCCCCCTGGCTCTCTTTGGGTGGAGAAGCTTTCCTTTCTAGTCTGTGGGCATAGGATGCTCTCCCCAGCACTGACGACAACCCACACAGGCACTGCACGGCCATGGCAAGTGGACTTCAAAGGGCCATGTCCAGTCACTTCATGCCTTCTACACCCCCTTCTACAAAGCTCTGGCCTAAGCCACCGAGCTCAGGCCTGCGTGGGTCCATTAATGTCTCCTCACAGCAACAGCTTTTCTTTTTGAGAGAGTATCATTGTGTTGTCCAGGCTGGAGTGCAGCAGCATGATCAAAGGTTAGGCACCCTTGCCCTGACCTCCTGGGCTCAAGTGATCCTCCCACCTCAGCCTCCTGAGTAGCTGGGATTGCTGGTGCACATCACCATATCTGGCTATTTTTTTTTAAATTGCATTTTAGGTTTTGGGGTACATGTGAAGAAAACGCAAGATTGTTGCATAGGTACACTGGCTAATTTTTTCTTTTTTTTTTTGGCGGGGAATGGGGTCTAGCTATGCTACCCAGGCTGGTCTTAAGTTCCTAGGCTCGAGCAATTCTCCTGCCTTGGACTTCAAAGGTGCTGGGATTATGGGCGTGGGACACTGTGCCTGTCCAGCAACATCTTTGTGCCCCTTCTCCTTTTGGGGCTATTATGTGACTAATATCAATTTTTTTTTTTGAGACGAGTTTTGCTCCTGTTACCCAGGCTGGAGAGCAATGGCACGATCTCGGCTCACCGCAACCTCCGCCTCCTGGGTTCAGGCAATTCTCCTACCTCAGCCTCCCGAGTAGCTGGGATTACAGGCACGCGCCCCCATGCCCAGCTAACTAATATCAATTTTATTCAGCACACAGTTGGACTGAACCTCATCTCCCGACCCCATGGACATCTTTTTTTTTTTTTTTTTGAGACAGAGTTTTGTTCCTGTTGCTCAGGCCAGAGTACAGTGGCACAATTTTGGCTCACCACAACCTCCGCCTTCTGGGCTCAAGGGATTCTGCTGCCTCAGCTTCCCAAGTACCTGGGATTACAGGCATGCACCATCATGCCTGGCTAATTTTTACTAGAGACAGGTTTCTCCATGTTGGTCAGACTGGTCTCGAACTCCTGACCTCAGGTGATCTGCCCACCTCGGCCTCCCAAAGTGCTGGGATTACAGGCGTGAGCTACTGCGCCTGGCCTAGACATACCTTTTTTAAAAGCAAGATGTGCCGGGCGCGGTGGCTCAAGCCTGTAATCCCAGCACTTTGGGAGGCTGAGGCGGGTGAATCACGAGGTCAAGAGATCAAGACCATCCTGGTCAATAAGGTGAAACCCCGTCTCTACTAAAAATACAAAAAATTAGCTGGGCATGGTGGCGCGTGCCTGTAATCCCAGCTACTCAGGAGGCTGAGGCAGGAGAATTGCCTGAACCCAGAAGGCGGAGGTTGCGGTGAGCCGAGACCGCGCCATTGCACTCCAGCCTGGGTAACAAGAGCGAAACTCCGTCCCCAAAAAAAAAAAAAAAAAAAAGCAAGATGTGCCTGCTGCTAACGGGCTTCCCTCTCTATCAGCTCCATCTGTCCACAGGAGGGCTAGACAGAGAGGATCCCATTTCCCCTGGGGAAGGGTAGGCTCTCAGTGAACACTGGTGAGCTGGGAAGTAACTTGCCCAAAGGCTTCAAACACAAGCCTTCTCTTCTGGAAGAGCCAGAGGCCTGGGTTCAAAGTGTGGATCCACTACGAGTTAGCAACACTCTAAGGCACTTGAGAAATTAAAGGCACCAGTGCTTTTTAACATCCATTTCCTAGGTATCTTTCTCTCCCACTTTAAACATATACAAACAGAGGACATTAGATAAAGCCCCTCTTTTTGTGATCAGCCTGGGCAACACAGGGAGATTCCACCTCAAAAAAAAAAAAGAGAGAAAATGAATCATTTAATGACTTGCTGAGAAAGTGAACCATAGACGCTCAGGCCAAACCTGAATGCAGAATTAAGTATCTGACCAGCACAGTCTGGAGCTGCTTTCTAAGTCAGATGACCAAAACCACCATTAAAAAGCAGCCCTGGCCGGGCACGGTGGCTCAAGCCTGTAATCCCAGCACTTTGGGAGGCCGAGGTGGGTGGATCACAAGGTCAAGAGATCGAGACCATCTTGGTCAACATGGTGAAACCCCGTCTCTACTAAAAATACAAAAAAAATAGCTGGGCATGGTGGTGCGTGCCTGTAATCCCAGCTACTCAGGTGGCTGAGGCAGGAGAATTGCCTGAACCCAGGAGGCGGAGGTTGTGGTGAGCCGAGATCGCGCCATTGCACTCCAGCCTGGGTAACAAGAGCGAAACTCCGTCTCAAAAAAAAAAAAAAAAAAGCAGCCCTGTTCCAAACACAGAGAAAGCAGGCATGGCCTATGCCAGGCGTCCCCAAACTTTTTACACAGGGGGCCAGTTCACTGTCCTTCAGACCATCATTGGAGGGCCGCCACATACTGTGCTCCTCTCACTGACCACCAATGAAAGAGGTGCCCCTTGCTGAAGTGTGGCGGGGGGCCGGATAAATGGCCTCAGATTACAGAAAATAATTAAGTTCTGCCGGGCGCGGTGGCTCAAGCCTGTAATCCCAGCACTTTGGGAGGCCGAGGTGGGTGGATCACGAGGTCGAGAGATCGAGACCATCCCGGTCAACATGGTGAAACCCCGTCTCTACTAAAAATACAAAAAATTAGCTGGGCATGGTGGCACGTGCCTGTAATTCCAGCTACTCAGGAGGCTGAGGCAGGAGAATTGCCTGAACCCAGGAGGCGGAGGTTGCGGTGAGCCGAGATCGCGCCATTGCACTCCAGCCTGGGTAACAAGAGCGAAACTCCGTCTCAAAAAAAAAAAAATAATAATAATTAAGTTCTTCCAAAGAGGTGGCATTTAGTCCCAGGTGGCTTTCAAATCAGGAAAACCTAAGAATGATGACGCCCTTCCCAGGTCAAGGGATAAACAGAACTGTGATCAAAAATTAGAAAATTAAGGGGGAAACGGATATGTAGGTACATTCTCTTGATTCCATACAAGACATCTAAATGACCAAGATGGATCTGTCTGCTTAGAAGACAAGTGGGAAAATAAGACAAAAGTCAGTCACAGGGCCTGGAAGAGAGAAGACAGAAAATTCACAGGGATAGGCGTGCAGCAAGAGGAGAGAGACCAAGAGGAAAGCAAAATACAAAAGAACACAACCTGACAGAATCTGCAAAAATGGCATTGTGAATTTTTTTTTGTGTGTGAGACTGGGTGTCTCTCTCTCTCTCTCTCTCTGTCACCCAGACGGGACTACAGAGGCAGGAACATAGCTCACTGATACCTCAACCTCCTGGGTTCAAGTGATACTCACCCCTCAGCCTCCCAAGTAGCTAGGACTAAAGGTGTGAGCCACCATGGGCCCACTAATTAAAAAAAAAATTTTTTTGAGACAGAGTCTCGCTCTGTTGCCAGGAGTCAGGCTGGAGTGCAGTGGCGGGATCT